TTAATTTCTCTGAACTCAAGGTAAGGCAGAACTTCATGGCAGAAGGACTCAGTAGAGGAATGCTTCTCCATTTATGGTAACCAGGAAGCAGAGAGGGAGAATGGGGGAAGAGCCACAGGGAAGAGGACAAGTCAGTCCAAGATGGACTGATTAGGGTACTGCTGTCACAATCAAATCACTTCACCTCCCAACATTCCTGCATTACCACAAGGAATTTGGGGGACACCTCATATCCAAACCTTGACAGATGCATACTCTCTGATTTAATTTATGTGAAGTTCAGGATTATAGCTTTTAATGAAAGATTTTTATGACAATTTGATTTTGCATTCCTAACACACTTGGGGAAATTTCTTTCCCCTTCATGAAAGGACTTGTTTGAACACAAGCAGGCAAAGAAGTAAAAGAGAAATTGAGCTAATGCCAGCAGGTCAGCTCTGATTAAGTGAGAAACATTTATTTAGCATTCCTTGTTTCTGCAATGAATGATGGAATTATGTGATATTTATTTATATCCTTTCCTTTTGTTTCCTCCTTGAGCTTTGTGTGTGAATGTGTGTGTTTTGTGGGGATTGAACCAGGGCCTTGTGTATTCTAAGCACGTGCTCTACCACTGAGCGTACACTTAACCTGAATTATAATTCTTAAGACTTGTGAGTAATAATCACAGCTGAATGCCATTTGCAAAAGGCAAAAATACACTACAGAGTTAAAGAGCTTTTTTATACAAAGCTAACTACTTATAACGATCATTGAGTCTTCCTCAAAATAAAATTTCTGAGAAAATAACAGGCAGTATTGGAAAGCAGGTRATTTGTTATTCTCTGCTGAAAACTTCTGATACTAACATTTTCATCACTGCTGAAAGCTACCTTCTTCTTTGTACCATTTACTCATTTTGGTAGTGGTAAAAGCCATGAAATCATGGTAGGCAGTCAAAACTGTAGAGGACAGGATTGGGGATRTATCAGTGCTAGAGCATTTGCCTAGCTGGCATGCACGAGGTTACGGGTTCAACCCAGCACCTCAAAAACCAATTAAAAAAAAAAGAAATATAGAGAACAGATTAGAGTCATCAGGGGATGCAGGAGGAAGTTCAAGGAGGGTCAGATATAAAGGGGAAGCACAGGGAAGTATCTTTGTGATGCAACCATTCTGTACCCTGGTGGTGGTGGTTCTAGGAATCTAAATATGGGATGAAATTGAATTGCATGTAGATGCACCCCTGAACACATATAAAAATGGTGAAAAATGATCAATACCTGTAGTTTACTTCAAGTGCTATACCAATGTCATAGTTTCTTTCTTTTTTTTTTATGTTGTACTATAATTATATAAGATGTCACTACTGGGGGAAGCTGAACTTGAGTGAAGCCTTCAGAGGTCTCTTGGTACTTCTTCACAAATTCTTGTGAGCATGGAACATAATAAATTTAAAAATTATTATTAAAATTAAAAAAAATTATAGTAGGCACCGATAATCAAGTCTCAGCCTTCTGAAGGTGGGGTAGGAATAAAAGATGTAGGGCTCAGAAGGCAAGCAGCCTATCTTAATTAATTCTCCTAGAAGGTAGTATATGTGGTTTTTCTTAAAAGTAAGCCACATATCAGTTTCTGGCTCTGATTTGGATGTTAGGCGGAAATTAAATTAAAATATGTAAATGAGGTGATGTCCTGGGGCAGGCACACTGCCAAAGGAGCACACTGACTTTCACTGGGGTTTTTAGGTGTACTTGACAGATCTACGGGCTGACTGTGCTTCATACCATTGTCTGTACTGTGTCTGGCTCACCAGTATATTTTCCCACGAGCTTGCTCCAGTCATTTTATAGAATAAAATTCTTCTTTCTAGCATCATCATATTGTTATTCTTTAAAAATTCAGTTTTATATGTAAATCACAGGAAACTTTGGAAATAGAGAAAAATCAGTAGAAAAAATTAATTATAATATTATTTTTCAGAAAAAAAATCCAATATTGATATTTGGAATATATATTATTTTAGTCTTTTTACTACTTTGCATATAAATTCTTCTAAAAATGAATATTAATTCATTTTTATAAGCATATTTTATTTATCCCTATGTGTACAAATGTTCAATAGAACATTTACATCTAGAAAAATGGAACAGGAACATTTACATTGTATGAGAGGGTGGAGTACGGTTCTGGATTAAAGACTTCTTTGATTAGGCATCTCTAGTCCTTGCTGGAACACCTCCGTTATATTTTTTTCTGAATTTCTATCTGGTTAAAAATGTCTATTTGTTGATTAGGTAATCAAAATTTTATCCTTCTCATTGAGAAGTTGTTCATTAACAAGAGGTTTTCTTTAGTTTATTGGGTGAGGCTCTGTCTTGCTCTTCCACTTTCAATTGATTATGATCATTTTGCAGCCTCAGCTCCTTCCTTGGGTTTTTTGTGGTCCTCTCTACACAGAAAGGTACCAGCTTGACCCCTGGATCATACCAGGAAAGGCGGCAACAGGACTTTTTTTTTTTATTGGTTGTTCAAAACATTACAAAGCTCTTGACATATCATATTTCATACTTTAGATTCAAGTGGGTTATGAATTCCCATTTCTACCCCGTATACAGATTGCAGAATCACATCGGTTACACATCCACAGTTTTACATAATGCCATATTAGTAACTGGGCAACAGGACTTAGACCACTTATATATATAAAATGTATAAAAAATACAGTTTTTTTAAAATTAGCTTTTAATAGCAATCACTAAGAGACCCTAGAAAATAACATGTTTCCTGTATTGATTGTCCACACTGGAAAGCTGCTAAGTGTTTAGATGTTAGAAAAGCAAGTCAAACCTCTGAGCCTGACATTCTTTTCTTGGTCATAAGCACACCATTCACACCACTCTGTAGTATGTGTGTGTTGGGGGAATTTTGCTTGAATACAACTTATGAGATTCAGACTATAAACTCCTCTTTCTCCTTTAGTTCTAGGCTGGTACTATATCCTTGCAAAGGCTTAGTCTGTTTATGGCACTACAGAAAACCATTAGGGGAGGGAGGAAGGCGGTGGCAAGGAAGGAACTTGATAATGTTAAGTGAGCTGATCAGAAGATGAAGGACCATCTTGTCCTAAAGAACCATCCTCCCACAAGGCTGATGTAGGGGTGCTTTATGTAGAAGATGGTGAGGACCTTCTCACATGTAGAGGTTTGCAGTCAAATGACACACATTGGATTCTTACTGTTGAGTCACAAGAAGCTTTTCAGTTCTGTAAATCATAAGAATAAAGATCATTATGTCTGCAGGCTGTTCTTACCACCAATGAGCTTGCCCACATGCAGTTTCTGACATTACACAATAGACATGCTAGAGGGGCAGCTCCCATAGCCTCTTGCTGATCACCAGCTCACACTAATGCAAGAAAACATAATTTACCTGATTATCATGGAAGAGAATATTCAAGTGAAGTTAAGTCAGTCACAAGATCTGCTCTCAATGCTTGTCTTTAATATTTTCTATAATTGTGTTTTATCATTGTCATTAATATTTCCCACAAAGAGAAATTTCTCAGGCTAGACCTCATGGTAAATACTTGTTGTTCTTTCCTTGGGCTGCTATCAGCTAATTCTTGGCCTTTCCTTTTCAGTCCTACTGTAGTATAAACCTTTCTAAGTTGAAAACAGCTCTATGAAGAAACTTACAGGGCATTCCAGGTGTTAAGAGCTCCTCTAACCGACAGTAAATTTTGCAGCAACTGGAAATAACATTTTTTTTACCTATTTTTAGTTAAGAACGTCTTCCTATATCATAGCATAATTTAGGTTATAAGGGCTAAAGAAATACTAATTCATCCTATTCTAAGAAAAATCCCCAGATTATTATTTAAGAACAAATATATCCCCCCAAGGGACTGCCCTCTTTGAGTTGATCTACTCTTTTTATTTGTTCTTTTTAGTTACAACAATAGAGTATATTTTGATATATTTATACAAACATGGAGTATAGCTTGTTCTAATTAGGATCCCAGTCTTGTGGTTGTACCTGATGTGGAGATTCGCTGTGGTGTACTCATGTATGTACATAGGATAGTTATGTCAGACTTTTAGTTGTACCCTATACTTTATTTTTCAACTTGTTATCTGAATCTCTTACCTGCCCCCACCACTCTATCTGAGGTTTTCTAAAAAACTAAAAGGAACTATTATTCTGGTTGGAAATTCAACTTCACATGAAAGGAGATTTATCAGGGATTTGAATGAGCAAAACTTTTATCCTTCCCTAAAGATTCCATGTTTATATACCCTTTACAAATATATATATATATTTTTTAAAAATATATGTATATATATATATATATATATAAAATATATGTATATATATATACAAAAATATTATATATAATGCAAATATATATAATATATAATGCAAATATATATTATATATATAAACAGGCATATTTCCTTGAGTTTGACTTTTATGTTTTCAATAAGCACTATTAAAAACTGAATATGAACGTCTTGAAATTTAATACAAAGGAAATTTGGCTCAAATCTGACCACTGAAGGATAATTTATTTAGCTGTGCAGGTTTTTAAAAATTTAGATAATTTTTTTCCTTCATATTAGTATTTCATATGCATGTTAAATTAATTTTTATAACTGACAAAAAGTTTCTATTTACCTTTCATATCACAGGTATTCATGTAATAATTAAATTTATGTATTTATATTTATTCTCTGTTTAAACTCAGCATATCAAAGAAAATGCATATTTAAAAGCAGAAGATGATTACCGAAGAGTCAGATTTGAAATATGAATTGTTCACAAAAATAAGAATTACCTTAGTTTCATGTACCACTTTGTTATAGTAAGGAAGAACTGAAGTTCTTATGTAAGGTGTGCATTAAAATATTCTTAATATGTACTTCATTGCATTGGCATGATTAAAATGCTCATGTATTGAAAATCCTTGTTGTTTTTACGGCAAACTTACAAGAGCTCCTGCTTTTTTTTCTCTCTAACAGATATAAGCTTACCAAAGTCGGCAACAATATGCTACACAGCTGCCTTGCTCAAAGCAAGAGCTGTCTCTGACAAGTAAGTGAGCAATGACTGGTGCGGTACCAATGGCCTCCCTGACTTCAGCTGTGTTGCCTCTGAGGGCTTTCTCTGGAAGTTTCCTAGTCTATGAGACTCCTGCTTATGAGCATGCATTTCCCAAATCCTGCTGATCTTTTCTTTCACTACTAGAAGGAGGAAATGTGTATCGCAGGTATTGTAAGGGTGTGGGGTACCTAAAGAAGGATTTATTATTGAAAGCCCGTGCTTCTGAGGTGACTTTTTTCTTTTTGTCAGACAGTAGATACCAAAAGGCCTGCTTGGAACTTCCACAAAAATGCTGTCCTTTTGTTGTTTTTTTTTTTTTTTTCTTTTTTTGGATAGTCCTCTTCTTTCCGCAGTCCACGACTGGATAATACAGTGTGGCCTAGGGGATGTCATCTCACAGTCTTTGCCTTATCAGTTCCACATCAGCTCCCCACTCAGAGTCTGTTTCCTTTGAGATGCCGTCTCAGTGGGGCATTGCCCATTTTGTTCAGGCAGGTGACTATGGCATGTAGAATTTCTGTAAACATCCAGGGATGACTGGCAGGTGAAAGAGTAGAGATGGCTTAACTGTTTTTGAGTTCATAAACGCTTCCACTTCCCTGATACAATTCCTCTTGTAGCACTGAAAAGCAGAGAACAGGAAACAGCCTCTGCTGTGTCAGACAGGTTTGCTGTTAAGTGTGTGTGCACTTTAAGACCGAAGTAATTTTCTTTCATTCTTTTTTATCCTGTAGATCGCCAGTACCTACTGCAACATCTTTTCTCCCTACACAGCGACTCCAGCTTGGGAGGGCAGGGCCAGGGTTGTCACAGCTTCCCATGTGGTGTCTGCCTGCCAAGCACAGCTCTGGAGTTAGCCCTGGGTGTGAGGTGAGAAAGAGATTGCATGGTCTGGTTTTTTTCATTCACTGGGCAGGTGTCTCGCCCACAGTTTGGGCATGCACCCCCTCTGCCGGGACGGCCCAAGCAGGCTCGCCTGCGGCTGAAGCTGCAAAGACTTAACCTTCCATCGCAGCACTGACATTGGGTTGGGAGCCTCCTTTAAAATTCTCCCCAGTTCTGTTTTTAACCAAGTGCGCTCTTCTGTAACCTGGTTTTCTCTTTTTCCTACACTATCTGCCCTTGTCAGTCCTTCCCCGACCCCTCACCTAAGCAGGTACTTCATAGAAAATTTAGATTAGCTATTTAGACAGAAAGACTTGACAGCTGAATTCAATTCCTGCCTCTATTAGATGCAAGCACGCTTTCTGCTTCTGCTGGGGTTTTTGCTGGCCTCCATCTGAGGGGTCACTCAGAGGTTCCATGTAGTGGAAGTTTGGAGAGCTAATGCCATTGGCTCGCTATGGTTTTATGGGCCCTTGATGTGTAGATGCCTTTCTGGATTGATGCCCAAGCAGTGGTCCCAACTGGATGGTGTTTGTCTTTCTGCTTTTCAGATTCTCTCCCGAGGCTGCATCTCGGCGGGGGCTGAGCACAGCAGAGATGAATGCAGTAGAGGCCATTCACAGAGCTGTGGAATTTAATCCTCACGTGCCAAAAGTGAGTCTGTGCAATCCCCACAGGAGCTCGTTATGATAGCTGAGAAAGCGTTCACTTAACACCATGTCATGTCTCCAATATGCCCAGCTTTAAAAAAATGAATTGCAACCAATAAGTGTTGAGGTCCTGTAGAGTCTATAGGCATTAAGTCTCTCTCTAAAGCAAAAGCTACACTCAAGAGACCTTGGAACTGATTTTTGGACCTCACCTAATAAGGTATATAGATAGACCTTTTTAGGCAGGACAGGTCTGAAATTAGAAAAAYGTGAAGCTCCCAAGAGTTTGATGCATTTGATAGGAATTTCACACCAGTTATAATCTTACATAGACCAAACTTGGGAAATAAATTTTGTTGTGGATAAAACTGGTAAAAATACTTACTAATGAGGCAAATCTTTGTAAGTAAATAGTTATTAATCAGTATTGGCAAAAAAATAATAGGGAAAACCTGAAAGTATGTAGTATTTTGATTTGTGATATCATTCTATTAGTTATATGTAGTTACGAATACTTGTCTTAGCTGTTAACCATAGGATTTATCAATTTGTAAATCCCAGTATTACCCATATTTTTCTCTGAAGTAGATTTTAATGGAATCAGGAGATGGATGTGTATTTTTGATTTACCTGTGTTTGAGTACCTGCTCTGTGGTAGGTATCTAGATTAGGGTCAATTCCAATCTCTTGACATTAAGCACATCCTAACTTATAAGAAACTATTCCTACAATTCATATCGGGTATCATAAGGCCTAATTTTCTTAGAAAACTGTCTGATGAAAATTTTCTGGAGAAAAATGACCAAGGACAGCTATTTACTTGTGTTGTTGCAGTACTTAAGCAAAAGGGGTGTGTGTGTATGTGTGTGTGTGTGTGTGTGTGTGTGTGTGTGTGTGTGAATGTGTGTATTGAGATGATTTATGGAGTTACCTACTGTAATTTATTTTGTTGGTGTCTAGAGTGACAGAGATAAGTGATCTAATATCATTCCTGAGGTTTTACTCAAGGTCATCTTTTCACATAATAGGAAATTGAAGAGCCATGCACAGTGCCATATTTGCAGAAGGATGCATTTATCCACTCTATTGCCAGCAGATAGTAACCCACAAAATATTTGCAGACTTAAGTATTATATATAGTGTGCTATAAATATGTATTCATATAWTTTACTTAAGCTAAAAATGCTTATTGAATTTTGACTAAAATTTAAAACTAATCATAAAAATATTGTCCTGAGTTACAATAAACTTAGGTCATCCATCAATATTTATTGAATACCATTCTATAATGACAGAGCCAGTCTATGTGCATAAATAAGGCTCTTTTAGAAGTAGTTATTGAGCAGTAGAGTTCTGAATTCTAAGGCAAAAAGAGTTCAGATTCTGGCTGTTATTAATCAGACATGAAACCTTGGACTTAGCACTTCTGCTCAAAAGTTTCCCCTCATCTTTCAAATTAAGATAAAAATATAAGCCCTGCCTATCTTCTGAGATAAATATCAAGTGAGATAATGTATTTGAAGTTCTTGAAAAACACTGACCATGTTATCTGTTAATTATTAAAACAGTTGATACTTGACTTGTTGGAGGCCCCTCAAGTTTAGAAACCAGGTTTTAACTTTTCCAATAATGTTAATTAGAACCTAAGAATCCCAAGTGCAAGATAGAAAATCTGTATAATTCTTGTTGGTTAGATATTTTGATTAGTCATTTAATACTATGATAATGGTCTGAAATGGTTAATTGAGCCTCTAAAATGTTATAAAAGGCCCTTAGAAATAGTTCCTGGAAGAATTTGGCACAGTCAGTTGGCATTTCTGCAAAACAGAATTATCCTACAAGTGGAAACATTTCAAATATTTTTTACTAATATATATTTTAATTGACACATAGTAATTATACATATTAATGGGGTACAATGAAGCATTTCAATGCATGCATATAGTGCAAAGTGACCAGATCAGGGCACCTCTACCATCTCAGATGTACATCATTTCTTTGAGAACATTTCAAATATCTCCATTTTCTAATTGGGAAGTAGAGAAGTCAGAGTACCTAGGTAAACTGATTTTATACCCTTTGCTTTGTTGGTAATCATAGGAAGGGGAAAAAAATCTCTTTATMTGTTCACATGTCCACAGGGAAAGGTCCTTGTGATTCACTGGCCTCATCTGTTTGGAATTACCCATGAACTCTGGTGCATGGGTATGGTACACAGGATGCTCTAGGCATCTTTACACATGTTCTGCTATTCATTGGATGACTTGTAGGCAGAGAATAACCTTAAGTCTAATGAGACATCAGTGAAGGCTTTACACTTTGTGTAAAAAAAGACCTTAAAGAACATCTTGGTCACCTTTCCATCCTAAATGTAGCTCTCTCCTCATAATGATATTCTAATTATTGATTTCTGTACTGAACCTCATAGGCCCTCTCATTTACTTTTCATAACAACATGGTAAAGTGTATCATTGCTGTTATTCATATTACATATGAGGACAAGTTAGAAAGGTTAAAGAACCTGCTCGTGGTCATGCAGCAGGGTTATCTGCTCTTAAATATCACCTTTCATTTCATCTCAGATCCTACCAGTGGGCAGAGCCTAGACCTGATAGGCATGTTGCATTCCAAGGCATTCAACTCCTTGTGGACAATCCAGATTTCTTCAAGATGGTAAACATGTCCATGGCTTGTTTTTATCTATCACAGGGAATTCTCCTGGGCCTCCATAGTTATTTATAATATCTTCATGCTCATTTTGCAGTCTACTTAGACTGAGGGATAAATATCCATTATAGAAGCTGAGAACTGCCTTCTATTGCTCTCCAGCATGGTTTAATCTGGTATCCCATTAAGCAAAGGTATATTGGAAATATTTCACCATCAATGCTCATTATTATTTACCCAGGAGGGTGACTCCTAGGAACTCTCTTCATCTGCAAACATGAGGAGTAGGGAGTAAGTATCGCTCCTCATTACACCACTGGTGAATCAATAAAATTTGCGAACAGCCACCCATCTCCATTCTGAAGGAGAGCCTTTAAAGTAGTCAGTCAGATGCTAACCACTAAGATTTCTGAAGTTTTAGGTTGCAGCAGATTAGTAAGGAGGAAGCAGGCACATGGACTCAGCCTTACAAATCCAATTGTTAACTCCCCTGCCAAAACATTGCATCTGTGTCCGCAGCGCCCACAGAAAAAGGTATTTTAATGCTTTTTTATGCATTTTATGCCTTAGAGGGTCCTTTGGGACCCTTCATATTCTGACCCAACTTGTGTTTCATTTTTCCTAGCTCCTTCTACACTCTGTTTCTCTTTGCAGAAGCAACCTCCCCTTCTTCCCTCTTTGTTTTCTCTGGGAAAACCCACTTTTGCTCATCCCCCCACCATTAAAGTCACCACCAAGAAGCCTGTCCTTCCTTATCATCAGAATTATTCTSTCTCCTCTGTGTTCTCTTGCTGTACTGCCATGATTATGCACTTGCTGTTTACCTTTTTTTAATGGCAGTTGTATGTTTTAGGATCTTGATGCTGTTAATTTTTAAGAACTGAATAAACAGTTCATGAAAAAGAAATATTTAACCTAAATGGGGGTTTTCTCCCCCCATTTAATGGAAACAAAACTGAAGATTTTTATTTAAAGTAAGTATTCTCCACTTTGAAAGAAAAATTTACTCATGTGGTGCTGGATGTATGAGGAACTACTCTCAATTCAATATCTTCATCTTTTTATTATAGTTTATTGGATTTAGGGTTTTTTTTACCCACAAATATGTTTCCTCACCTGMCAATTTTGAGATTCCCCTTGGGTCAGAGTCAGGGAGACATTTCTGTCAGTGACTCATTATTTCATACAGACCTGATTAACTAGTGCTTACGTGTTATTGGTGTGCTATGTCTACACCACAAGCCCTTCCCTGTGAGGAGGCACATTTTTGTTTTTTGAGCATGTTATATTAACTCCTTCAGGGTGGCAAAGATAAACCTTTACTTTTTGTCAAGTTTCCAAGAAAAAAAAAAGAAATAGAGGCTAAGTATTTATTATAATCAGTATTAGATACTCTTTTTCCCTCGATATTGGTGTCATAAAGCAACTTCTTTTTATGTTAAAGAAATCACTCATGATCCTAAGATCTACTCATATTTAAAACAATTTTATTTTAGTCTTTTATGCATTTTAATGCTTACATTTTCATATTTTAAAAATTAATGTATAGTCTTTGGACTATGTAGGTATTAGGGACATATGTATGGTTTCTTGGGGAGAATCATAAGATTTCTAGAGATTTTGACCTAAAAAGATCATCCTCCAACTTAACATTTAAGCCAAAGTCTTTCTGAATATGTGCCTTTGACTCTTCTAAAGATGGTCTCTATAAATGTTTTCTGGATACTTCGTGGGGTGGGGGATGGTTGTGTATGCGTTAAATAAAAATAGCATGTAATGTGAATTCTATCCCTTAAATTTCTTAGCATACAGTACTGTTAGCTGTATGCATGTTGTTGTACAGTAGATCTCTTGAAGTTCTTCATCCTACATGACTAAAACTCCATTCCCATTGAACAACTTTCTATTTCCTTCTCATCCCACCCCCTGGCAACCACTATTCTAACTTTGCTTCAGGGAGTTTGACTACTATAGATATCTCATATAGGTAGAATCACAGTATTAGTGACTGGCTTATTTCACTTAGTGTAATATCTTCAAAGTCTTCATTGGTGGTATAGAGCAGGATGCCCTCTTTTTAAGGCTGAATAATATTCCATTACATCTTTAAAAAAATTTGGTAGTTGTAGATGGACAGAATGCCCTTATTTTATTTATTTTTATGTGGTGCTAAGGATCAAACCCAGTGCCTCACACATGCTAGACAAGTGCTCTACCACTGGGCTACAACCCCAGCCCTTCCATTACATTTTCTGTATTCATTTATCTGTCCATGAATATTTAGGTTGTTTCCACCTCTTGGATGTTGTAGTAAACATGGCAATGAAAATATTGCTT